ACACACAAACATACTTTGAAAATGTGAATCCCCTACGTCTGAGAACCTTTTCCCCCACACCCCGCTCCCTGTGGACTCCTCTGGTCAGACCTTTGAGGGAACATGCCAGGGACAAGCAGCGGCACCTGTGTGGTCAGTACCCGTGTGACCTTGAGTGTGCAGCTCGGCCTCGGCTGTTTCAGCACAAGCTGGGTTCTCATCAGACTGCGAGCTCCCTTTGCTCAGGGCTGTTCCTCCCCGGCAGACAGCGTCTCTTCTGCTCCCTCCCAGAGGCCAGACGCGAGAAGGGGGTCAGAACCGGAATCTGAAGCAGAGGCATGGGGGAGCACACACGGAGACTTGTATTTCCCACCAGCCTGTGCAATCGTTTGTCCTCAGCAAGTGAGCAGGAGCTATTTCCAGGGCCCATTACACTAATAACCTCACCGACTTATTCTGCTCCTTCCTTTCAAGGAGCTCAGCGTCCCTCCCTTCCCCAGCAGCTCTGCAGGAGGGCCATGGGGTTCAGACGGCCCCCTCTGGGGAGTGGGGTGCTGTAATTCCCGGAGGATGGTGGGTGATACCACAGGACCCAAAGCAGGGTTCTTAGGGCCCCGACCACTCAGCCTCCTGGGGCCCTTCATCCAGACTCCTCTGGGCAAAGTCACTGTTAAATATTTGCCCCTGGAGTGTGCCACAGCCTTTGATCGTATCTGGTTTCCTGTTCTCCTCTGGGAGGAACTCCTCTGCAGGAAGTAGTTCTAGTCTGAAGGCCTCACTTCCCTGGTCTTGAGATCCCAGGTTTCGGTTACCAGTGGCTGAGATCCTTGCTCAGAGGGAGACAGGAAGGAGAGACCAGAGCAGTGAGGTGCCTTCAGAGCCACAGAGGATGCTGACCCCTCCGGCCCCCACCCAACCCTCGGGCCCGGTGCCTGAGTGAGGAGCCGGTGACAGGGAGACGGATGCCAGGCCCGGGGGACCCTGCCCTGGTTTCAGCAGCTGGATGGACATTGCATCACCCACTCTGCAGATGCTCTCTCTCCTGAGTCAACACACGTTTATTCCGAGACTGCTCAGTTCTCGCTGACAAGGAGTCTTTGTGAAGACTGCTCAGTTCCTCCTGCTCCCATGTTGCTCCTGCACGCTGGGGTCTGACCAGGAACTCAGAAGTGACATCACTGTTCACAACGGAAGGCCTGTGATGCCAGAAGCCGGTCACACCAATGAGGAAGCACCTGAGAAGCCAGACCCGGGCAGTGAGGTAGCGCGGAGATCAGCAATGACAGGAAGCGACCCTACCCCTGGGCTTCAGGACACAGGGCAGAGGCGAGTCCTGAACCCCAGGGCTGGCTGCACCTGGACTGTCGTGGCCTCTCTGTGGGAGGTGAGCCAAGGAGGAGACAGAACTGCTGCCTGATACCCAGCCGGAGAGGAGGAAGTGTCCTGGCTCCGTCCCCTCCTTCGCCACAGCACTGCCTGCTGTGGGCCCAGCTGACTCAGGAGCTTGGGAAACGCCTCCGTCAGGCTCGCACCCCGTGGTCCCAGGGCAGGGCTCCAGGGCCAGCCCGATCTGCTCTGCTCGTATTCTGTCATCGAAGGGGCTGTCGGGCCTCGGTGCCTGGCCCTCTGCTCCCTCAGGTGCTCCTTCCTGCCTGGGTTCATGGTCTGCTTGGCACCCGGTGGCTTCCTGAGCTGTTGTAGGGCAGCCACTGTGTGTTCTCAGAGTCAGCCTACAGATCATCCCCCCCCCCCCCCCCCCCCCCCGTGTCCAGGAAGAGTCCTCATCTGAGGCTGTAGGCAGGGAAAGGCCACCCTCTGTGCCCAGAGGGGAAGTGATCTCATTTGTCAAAGGGACCCATTCATGAGGCAAAGGACAGTCGGGGAGCTTTGGACACATGCTCATGGCTCGTGCTGAGATTTGGCTTGAGCTGGAGCCCTGTTTCTCTGGGCTCATCCGGTCGGAGCCTCTGCTGGGCTCACACGGTGTGGGCAGCGTGGGGCTCTGGCTGCCCTGGATGTATTGGAGCTGGTTGGTGGCCCCGGAGGGGGTGAGATCTTGCACCCTGATTTGGGAGGGACATCACCAGGTGTCAGAGGCACATTTAGCACACCCCACCCTATGTGCACCCCAGGACTTGCAGCCTCTGCTTTTCTTTCCCACAGCTGGAGAGGTGGGTTGCTCCCTGGTCCTGGTGCAGCCCTTCCTGTGAGAACCTGCCCCACCTCAGCCAAGGTCTTGTGTCCGGCCTTTTCCCACCATGGAGAAAATAGCAAGAAAAACAGATGAGATCTGATACCCTGAGCAGCAGGGTCTGCTGGGACCTGACCCTGGAGGAGCCCCAGTAACACTCTGACCCAGGGGCTCCAGGAAGTCGGGAAGGGCCGGGGAGCAGGGGAGGGGGCACCTCTCTAGGTAGAAGTGTCCCACAGCCATATCCCACCTGGGACACTGTCAGTATCCACCTCCTCTGTGGGTGGGTCCTCATCGCCCACCCCCCATCTCTGGGTGGTGCTCTCTGAACAGGGTCCAGTTGTTCCCACTGTAAAGCTTGTAGGAAAGGGGCATCGTCATCTGCCAATCCTCCTGCGTCCAGTCGTCCACAGTGAGCCTGTTGCCCCGAAGGAGATGAAGACATGGGCACGCCATGGCCCCTTTCTGAGCCTTGAATCTGTAATCTGTGAAATTGGGGTTCCTCACAGGAGGTTACAGGGCTCCCTGAGGCATGAATGTAACAGGGCTTGTGAGCGATGACTGCGACAGAACCCGGCGGGTGCGGTGCCTGGCCTCCACCCTTCCTTCTGCAGGGGAAGCTGGCCCTGGGGACGCGTGTCCCTCCTTTCTTCTCTCTTCACAGAATTGTCTGTGCTCCTCTGGTCTCGCCCCAGAGGCTCTTTGGACAGAGCTTCCCTCGTTTATCTGGAAGCCCTCGGGGTCATTGGGAGCCAGCCCGTGCCAGCTGTTTGCAGAGGTTGTGTTTGCCAAGCGTCTAGAGATTCCAGAGGGTTCCAGGTGTGAGTGTTTTGAGGGCTCGGTGAGTGAGAGCGCGGGCACAGGAGTATTGGCGGGGTGTTTGCAGAGCGTTTCACACGTTATCTCGTCTGGCCCGCACCCTCGACGTGGGCCAGTGCTCATTTTGCAGAGGAGGACTTGATCTGGCAGCTTGCAGGGGCCCCGACTTGGTCCCGTTTCAGCATATGCTCTGCTGGCCTTCCTGCTGCTGACCCGAGAGGAGGGCTCAGCCACAGCAGAGAGCAAGGGCCCCGGAGAAGAGCACCCAGGCAGGGGCAGCAGACTGGGCGGCTGTCCGGCTCGGTGCCTTGGAGACACAAGGACGCCACCATCACAGGTTGGAGGGTGCTGCACCGAAGGTGTGGGAGTCCCCTGGGGTCCTCGGTGTCCCCATTGGGAAGACAAAGAATGAGAAATGGGGTTCCCGAGGCCCATCCACCTCACTTTCTAGACAGGGCAGGGAGGGTACCTAATTTCTCCCACCCCCAGATTGTCCCCTTCCTTTCCCGTAAAGCCTTCACAGGACAGTGGGCTCTAGTGGGCGGAGAGGCCTCCAGGAGGAGAGGGACCTGAGGTCTCATGGCCGTGAAGGAGGAAGCCACAGGCACGGACAGAAGCAGCAGCTGGAGGGAGCCCCCCCGTTCACACCCATGGGTCTCAGTAGCTGTTTGCAGGCTCCAGAGGGCATCCGTCCGCCTGTCTTGGAAGCCAAACTGGAAAAAAACAACTGTGCTGCTGAGCCAGCACAGAGCCAGGCGCAGCCTCCAGCACCTTCTCCAAGGGCCCTGTGGCCAGAGGACACACTGGCTGCGCTTGATCCCTGGAAGCGGGGACATGAAGCCCTCAGCCATCGTAGGGTGCGGGGTGATCACCAGCCAGGGGCCCCTCGTCAGTTTTGGGGTCCTCCAAACGTTTTTATCATCTGTGCGTTATGACGTGTAAAGGCTCGGTAACCCCGTCACTTGACAAGATCCCTAGCATTTCCTTCCAAGGACATATCACTACCTAAAGTTGGCTTGTTTCAGTACCTGTGTGTTATCTGTACCTTTCCCCAAAGTGTGAGCAGCATAGAAGTGGGCTCGTCTTCCTCTGGGACAGACATACTCAGAGTGTTTGCTGAGCAAATGCTCCCCACGCGCGTAGATGCAAGTACCTCGGCGTAGTAGATGCTCAGAGCATCCGTTTTCTTTCCTGACAACAATTCCCAAGTGGCTTGGGTGTGCTGAGCCAATATTGGAGATCTAGGCCTCAGGAGACAAGCCCTGTGCAGTGATGGGGCGCTGAGCAGGGGGTGGGTGATGAGGGGCTGCCCAGGGAGTGTGGACGAAGCCTAAAGGAGGCTTGTGAATGCTTAAAAAAAATTTTTTTTTCTTTATTGATTTTAGAGAGAGAGGAAGGGAGAGGAGAGAGATAGAAACATTGATGAGAGAGAACATGGACTGGCCGCCTCCTGCACGCCCCCCACTGGGGATCGGGCCCACAACCTGGGCATGTGCCCTGACCGGGAATCGAACAGGCGACCTCTTGGTGCAGGGTTGACGCCCATCCACTGAGCCACACCGGCCGGGCAAGGTTGTGGGTGCCGTTTGAGTGTCGCTGGCCCAGGGAGAGCTGTGTGCTCCCCAGGGAGTGTCAGCCTGCACTGGGAAGGATGGGCCACACCGCCACCTTCAGCCCCGGCAGCTCCCGGGACACGTTCAGTTCTGTGTCTTCACGGCCCCCCAGGAGGCTGTCCTGAAACAGCTGATGAAGGCCAGGGGCCTGCCGAGTCATCCAGTCGGATGTTCCTTTGGTCATTTTATTTAATTAAAATGTAGTGAACGGTTTTTGTCATTGACCAGGAGAGATGAGCCAGCGCGTTGCAAGCTGTGCCTGGGTCTTAGACCCTGAAAACCTGGAGCTTTAGCCAGAGATATGCACTCCCTGCTACCTGGCCCCTGGCAGGCAGGGCCTCCTCCCGCGGGGCTGGGCCAGCCTCCGCGGGGCCTCACACTCTGCCCTCCTTCCCCAGGTACAAGACGGTGGTGACGCCCCGCAGGGCTGCCATGGCCATCGCCGGCTGCTGGACCCTTTCCTTCGTGGTGGGCCTCACGCCCATGTTCGGCTGGAACAACCTGAGCGCGGTGCAGCGGTCCTGGGTGGACAATGGCAGTGTGGGTGAGCCTGTGATCAAGTGTGAGTTCGAGAAGGTCATCAGCATGGAGTACATGGTCTACTTCAACTTCTTCGTCTGGGTGCTGCCCCCTCTGCTGCTCATGGTCCTCATCTACCTGGAGGTGTTCTACCTGATCCGCAGGCAGCTCAACAAGAAGGCGTCGGCCTCCACGGGCGACCCGCAGAAGTACTATGGGAAGGAGCTGAAGATCGCCAAGTCGCTGGCCCTCATCCTCCTCCTCTTCGCCCTCAGCTGGCTGCCCCTGCACGTCCTGAACTGCATCACCCTCTTCTGCCCTTCCTGCCGCAAGCCCAGCATCCTCACCTACATCGCCATCTTCCTCACGCATGGCAACTCGGCCATGAACCCCATCGTCTACGCCTTCCGCATCCAGAAGTTCCGGGTCACCTTCCTCAAGATTTGGAACGACCATTTCTGCTGCCAGCCTGCACCCCCCATGGATGAGGACCCCCCGGAAGAGAGGCCGGATGACTAAGCTCTATCTGCCCACAGCCAAAGCCCCTCTGCTCGGCCCTCACCTCCCCGCTGTCCGACTCGTCTCCATGCGCCTTCCCTGGCCGGGCTGTGGGGTATGGGTGCCCTACACCTGTGGGTCCTGCAAGAGGTTTGGGGACAGTCCATGGGGAGGGAACCAGGTCACTTGAGGGGAGGAGAAAAGTAGCTTGACCTTCCCTCCTGCCTGATTGTCCCATGGTTCAGGCAAAGGGGCCCATGGCCAGGTCTGCTCCCACCGGCGGGGGCACTGCTTGTCTCAGTGGGGGTGGCCGTGCAGCCCTGGGACCAAGCTAAAGGAGAGGAGGAGAAGGAGAGAAACTGCGTGTCTTGGCCTTGCTTTCTCTCCTCTTCTGTGGGAGAAGGTGGCTGGAGCCGCGGGGGGCAGAGATGAAGGAGCCGCGGTCCCGACCTCCCACAGCCTCATGCTCCGAGCCGTGCTGGGTGCCTGCCCCTTGCTCTGAGCAGCCGGGGTCACATTGGGCGGAATCATTTCCAACATGTGCTCTATTCTGTACCAGCATTTGGACCCGGTGGGGTTCCAAGCCCTGGAAGGTGCGGAGGGGTGTGTGGGCCTCACACAGCCGTCAGGTGGCAGCACTGACCGTCCCGAGGAGGAGCCTGGAGTGAGGCTGCCTGTCCTGCCCCAGCCCTCAGCCAGGCCTGGACTCCCCTGAGTGACACCCATCCCTGCTGCCTCTGGCCTGAAGGAGACATGTCGGCCTGGGAGCACTGTGCCCGCCCGTCGAGGGGGTGGGCGAGGGACGTGTCCGACTGTGGGCGCTCCAGAGATGAGAAATGCCAGGCTGGGGCAGGACAGCAGAGACCGCCGTCCTGAGAGTGTGGGCAGGAAGGTTCTGCTGGCCTTTAAATACCCCTGCACCCCTCCGATTCCCTGGCGTGCGGCCCAGCGTTCAGGGGCTTTGGGGTCCTGCTGCAGAGTCGTGGATTTTAGGGTGTCTGGGGAAGGACCATGCCCTTGCAAGCCCAGAACCCCTTGTGCAGAGGGGTGAGGGGCGAGATTCCGAGTGCGAATAGCGACTCCAGGCCCTTCCTCTCTCAGAGGCGGGTTTGCCCTGAGTCCCGGGGGCCCCCTGACTAACAAGAGACTGTGAACCCACATGGAGAGCACACGGCTGGGTAACCACCGTTTCCCAGGGCAGCAGACACCCTCTGCAGAGAGGATGCCGAAGGGGGTGGGGGTAGGGAGAGGGGTGTGGAGGCCTTTGGAGTGAGGTTTCCAGAGAAAGGTGTGTCTGTTCGTATTGTTATAATTTCTGGGTAGCAAGCTAAAAATCTATTCAGGAAAACCCCTGTGACTCCTCCAGTCCCCTCCCATGGACCTTCCTCATGGTGTCGTATGTGGGGAACCCCTTGCAGTGACCCAGGGCCCCCCGTTGTGGTGATCACTGTCACAGAGGCCCCGGCTGGAGCACCACACACCTTTATTTGACCGCTTCTTGCCCAGCATGCATCTCTGCAGGGCAGACCAGTCTTGGCACTTTCCAGAGCCCCTGTGCCCGTGCAGCCTGTCCCGGGGCTGCCAGTCCCACTCCTGGGTGCTGGGCTCCAGCCTCGGTGGAGGGAGGCTCGGATGGTGTCAGGGGGCAGAGTCATCAGTCATCACTATGGAAACGGGGGTCTGGGGAATCCATGGAGCTTGATTTGGTACTTGGTGGCCATGGCCCTTTAGGTCTGCAGCTCCTGGCAGAGAACCTGCTTCTTGAGCCCTGTTGTTGGCAGGGGGAGGTGAGGGGGTGAGGGGGTGAGGGGGTGAGGGGGTGAGGGGGTGAGGGGGTGAGGGGGTGAGGGGGTGAGGGGGTGAGGGGGGCAGGGCAGGGGAAGCTGCCCTCTCTTGCTCCCCGGGTCTGAGCTCTGCCCACCCCCTCGCTTTCCATCCTCAGAACCGCTCACAGGGAAGGTGGACACGTGTTGTCCGCCCCACTTTTCTGATGAGAAACAGGTCCAGGAGGAGGCCCTGGCCTAAGTCCGCTCAGAGCCAGGACTACACTGTCCTCGGGTCTCTGGAGCACCCCAAGCCCGTGTGACTGCAGACCTGTGCCCAGGGCTGCCTGCCACCACCCGCCTCTGCCCCAGACGCAGCCCAGGGAGCAGGTCCAGCCGTTTACCTTCATCCCATCACATCGCAGCCTCCTCGAGGGCTCCTCAGTGTGTGGCTAAGGCTGTAAGAGGGCCCACAGGTTAGAGCTGAGGTGGGGGGGGTGTCTCCTTGGGACCAGATTGGGGTTGGAGACACCAGAAAGCTCAAGGCTACATCCCAGGTGAGCTGTTCCCCTCCGCCCACACTGGGCCACCATCCTGAGAGGGGAGTCTTGACAGCCCAACCGAGATCTCACGACCCCTTTGTCCTGCCTTGAGTTTCAGGGCTCAGCCTTCTCTAGTCCAGCAGGAGAAGAGGTGGGATCTCCTGCCTCCCCCCCCCCCCCCGCCCATCACAGGTCCCTAAGGAGAGACCTTCCTCAAACCCTCACCTTTGACCTCCAGCCGGCAGTCCACAGATGCCTCCCCCAGCACATTGATGGCCTTGCAGGTGTATACCCCAGAATCAAAGGGGCTGGGCTTCCGGATCTCCAGGGTGTAGACACCTTGTTCAGAGAAGGTGCGGTATTTGGGGTCCCCCAGGATGTTCATATTGTTTTTCATCCAGAAGATCTTGGGCTGGGGGAGCACGGTCACAGAGAAGCTTGGAAGGCTGGCTGGGAGGGGGCTCTCCAAGGAACCCCTGCTGAGACTTCTCAGCCCCACTGCCCTCTCTGTCCTCCAAGCCCCGGGCATGGCAGTGCCCTGCCCCTCACCTTGGGCGATGCTCGGACACTGCAGGAGAGCTGGGTGCTGTAGCCAGAGGTAGTAGTGTGATCAGCCAGGGGCTGGGTGAACGAAGGGGCTTCAGAGAAGTCTCTCTGGACAAAGTCTTTGAGTTTGGCAACAATATCTGGGTTCAGGGGAGAAAATGGGGTAAATTTGAGATTAGAGGAGGAGACCTCTTAGGATGGACCTCAGGCTTTTCCATAAAATGATCAGCAGAGCTTCCATCTAGGCTTCTGCTGACAGCTGTGGTGCTCAGGTCGAGGGCTGGCGGCCTGGAGGAAGACCTTGCCCGCCGGAGGACGGCAGAAAAGCCATCTGTCCTCCCCCTCCTGCGGTGGGACCCCAGGCTCTTGGGATCCTTGGGAAGCCAGATATGGCCGGTGTGTGGGAACCCAGAGACACAATGTCTGAGAGAGGCCGAGGACAGGCGAGACCTTGGTGCCTCAGCAAGGGGGGCAGACAGCTATGATCACGGCTGACGGTGGAGACCAGCAGCCTGGAGACCCCACACTTTACTTCTGTTGGTCTTTGCAGAAGTAACCGGCTTTCCTTTTTTAAACAAAAAATTCTTCCTAATTCTGTGCAGCTGAGGCTGGTGTTAAAAGGCGTGTGCCTTCCGGAGCCACATGGGCTCTGCATGGGCGGGGGCTGGGATCTCATGTGACAGGAGGGGCCGCGGCTGTGTAGAGAGTGTCAACACCCGGTTCCACCTACCATCCAGGTGGTGTTGTATTAGGGGGAGGAGATTTGTGCTGTTGGTAAACTTGCCAGGGTCCACTCTCCACACACGGGTTCCTCTGGGACCCTGCACGCGAGACCCAGGGACTCTGTGGTGTCAGCAGCCACATGGCCTTTATGGAATAAATACACAGTCTCCCAAGGACGCTTCGTATTTGCACGGGACTGACTGCTCCGATGTGTCTGTTCAGTCAGGCCACCACATCATTTCTTTGTGGTTGCATGTGCTCCTGTGCGTGTGTATGTATGTATGTGTGCATGCATATGTGTGCACGTGTGCGTACGTGTGTGTGCGTGTGTGCGCCTGTGTGCGTGCGCATAGCTGTGCATGGGGCAGGGTCCATGAGAAGCCCTCAGGGACCCGAGGGGAGAGCCGGAGATGGAGTTGGGGAGAGAGGGGCAGCCTTGCGGGGCCGGCCTGCCTCCTGGTCCGGGCCCAGACCCACCTGCTTTCTTGATGTGGGCAAGCTCCTTGGTGATCGCAGCCGAGTCGCTGAGTCCACAGAGGTTTTCCGAAAAGACGCGGAAGGAGTAGGAGTTGCCCATGACGAGGTCGGAGACGGTGCAGGAGGTTGGGTGGTAGTGCTCCAGCACGGTGAACCATTGCTGCGGGGGCCCGGCCCTGTCATCTCAGCCCTCACCCCGCCTTGAGCTCCCTGCTCACCCCACGCTACACCCCTGGGAGGCTGAAACTTCTAGCCTTGGGTCTGAAGGACTTTCAGTTGGGAGCAGGGGTCTCTGGGTCATTCGGGTGACCTCTCTGGGGTCCTTAGAAAGTCCCCTCCCACCCCCCACGCAGTCTTCAGGAGGAAACCGAGGCCCAGAGATGAAATGGATCTTGCCAAAAGCTGTGGGAGCAGGAGTCAGGCTAGTGCTGGGCAAACTGGAACTCGGTTCCTGGACTCTCAGTGGCTGGGCCTTCCCAGCCACCTTGGGAACCTCTTCCCCACCCCACTCGCCCTTCCCCGCCCGAGTCTGCTCCCGGGCCTCACCCCTGTCTTCTTGTCTGCCTTCTGCACCGTGTAGCCCAGAAGCTCGGTGTTGCCTGTGTCCTGGGGCGGCGTCCATTCCAGGGCAGCGTTGCAGCCCCAGACGTCCACCAGCCTGATGCTGCTGGGGGGTTGAGGCTTCTCTGCAGGAGCAGGGGGAGTGTCGGGGGGAGTGAGGTAGGGGGCCGAGCTGGCCACAACCCCTCACACCCCAGATTCTGCTCCTTGCACACTCCCCTGGCCTGACCCTGTGAATATCAGCTATGGTGCAGGACGTGGGGGTATCATGGGGTCCCTGGTGAGACACCCCACCTGCCCTGGCCCCATACCAATGACCAGGATGTTGATGGCTGCCCGGGCCTCCAGGTTCTCCAGCCGCACGGTGAGCTCATAGCAGCCTGAGTCCGAGCGCTGGGCTGAGCGGATGAAGAGGATGGAGTCCTGGTCCCCCGTGCGCACGCTCACTTTCTTGCTGTCCAAGGCGTGGCCGTTGTGGGTCCACGAGGCCTGAGGCTTGGGCTTCCCCTGGGAGGGAGGAGCCCTCAGGGTGTGCAGGAGGGGCCAGCACCCCACAGCCATCCAACGCTGAGGTCTCAAGCTGCTCCCAGGGAGCTGCCCCAACCAGCCCTTCCCGGGAGGGGCAGCCGAGGCTGGAGCCATGGGTGCTGCCCAGACCCTCACCATGCAGGTGTCCAGCCAGCCCTGGGATGAGCTGCCCCATCCGCAAGTTGGAGAATGTGCATGACAGTGGGAGGGTGGGGCCATCTGGGTGGGCCCCAGGCAGACCCCCACAGGCATCCTGACATTTCCTGGGCTCTTCTGACCACCTCAGATGGGGCCCCAATTTCCACCTGTGCTTGTTCCCTGAGCATGCGACACACACACACCTGGAATGGAATCTGCAGGTTGACCACCTCTCCCACCTGGCGGAGGTAGGTCTGACGGAGGTGGCGGGGCACACGGATCTTGGGGGCCTCTGCATCAAATGAAGAGTCAGCTCAGCAGTGGGGCTGCTGATTGGTGAGGCTGTTGGCTGGGTAGAAGGGCTCCTAGGTGTGTCCTGGGGCCATCTCCTTGTGGGAAGCTTGCTCCTGAAATCCAGGGGCCAAACTCCCTAAAGCCCTTGGGGAACTAAGCCAGGAGGTCCCAGGTGGGCAGGGCCTCCATGGTGTGAACGGAGAAGCACCCAGCACTGCCTGGACCCCTGGACCCTGCCTGCTGGATGTGCCTGCAGCCCCTGATTCCTGGGCTCCAGATGTTGGGCATCTGCACCTACTGGCCTGCATTCCCAGAAAGTGGGGGCAAAGCCTCAGCCCCCTAATCTAGCCCCCACCCACACTAGCCTAGTACCATCCGAGAAGCCCCTGGGAGACCCTAGTGCCCAGTGCTCCATCTGCAGGTGACACGAAAGCGCTGGGATGTCTCCCTCCCCACAAGATGCAGAGGTTCCTGTTTTCTGCCTCCCTCCCCTCCCACCACCTTTCTGTCACAGTGGGAGGACTTCCTGAAACCGACTTCAGCCCTAGGCTAGAGTGGTCACCTGAGCAGGCACAGTTCCTGAAGCCACCTTCCGAGGGAAGCAGCAGCAGCCAAGCCTCTTGCCCCCAGGTGGGGGCAGGGGCGGTGGCTACTGAGGCTTCTGAGTGGCAAACAGGTGGCAGCAGTTGGTGGCTCACAGGGAGGAGGGGAGGGGACAACGAAGGAACACTGTGTCTCCAAGGATCAGCTGTGTGGGCACTTGGCTCTGGAGCATTAGGGTGGAATGCTGGGTGGCCAAGGAGGGACAGCTGAGCAGCCGAGGAACCTGGACAGGCCCCCACCCTGCCCTGCCCACCAGGAGGGCTGGCTGGTCCCTGTTCATTCTCTCCCCTGCTCTCTCCAGGAAATCCCCTTCTGCGCTGCCAGAGAAATTCTAACGGGGTAGTGGGGCCGAGTCTGGCTTCGGAGGAGAGGCTGGGCCCTTGCTGCCTCTCAGAGCCTCAGCTCCCTGGGGCCGAGGGGAAGGTCCAGGACCCTCCAACCAGAAGGTCTTGGTGTCCACGCTGCGGCTGCCAGATGTGACCATGTCTCACCCAAACTCAAATGCTGGGAACAGATTTCGGTTTTGAAAACCACGGAGGAGACTCCCTGGCACCTGGCAGGCAGGAGGGATCCTGCGCGGAGTCAGGCTTTGGGAGGGACTGCAGCCGGAGGTGGGCCTCCTCCGGAGCGTCCCTGACCCTGTGGACAGCTGTGACAGTCTGGGGGTCTCAGGCCCTGGAGCGAAGATCTATCTCCTTGAATCCAGACTTGACCCTTCCTGTGGCCATGACACCCCTACTTCTACAGGCCTCATTCAGACGTGTGAGGTCCCCCTGTGGGGGTCGAGGTGCGGGGCTGAGACGAAGATGGAGAAGGATCCCGTCCACCTGCTGTCCTGCATCTCTCTGCTCTGGGCCCTGGGCTGTCCCCAGAGACCTTGGATTAAAACAAGTGACTCACTGCCATGAACAGACTGAAACCTGACCGGCTCTGGGAGGGGCAGGGGTTTGAGGCCGATGCTCCCCACAAATAGAAATCTTAGCAAGGGACACAGCTGCTAAGGCGGTGCTGCCCTCTGGGGATGGAGAAGCCTTCACGGGCCTTTCGAGGGTCCTCGTCTTACTCCCACCAGAGATGTGGCGGGACGACTTCTGTTCCCAAATCTCTGGGAGATCTGGAACCCAGGCCACATGAAAACATCAGAATCCTCCAGAAATGAGCTGCCACGGGCCCTGGAGGAGGGAGACTAGACAGGAGGAAGGGCGGCATGAGTCTCAGCTCTGGGACCCAGAGGCAGGTGACCTGGGGAGCTTGAGCTTTCATTGTTTGGGGTCAGGAAACCCTTCCCCCAATGCTTCGGGGATGGGCCCCTCAGGGAAATGGCCTCACGGACCTCCAGAAATCTCTTGCTGCTGAAGAACCTGGAACTTTCTTAAGGCAAGATGGTGAGAGCATGTGACATGTGCACGCCTGGTGGGGTTGGGGAACTGGCCGCACCGTGCCCTCTGCCCACGGCCTCAGCTTCTCCCCCCGTCCCTAGGGTGTGGGGAAGGAGAAGAAGGCTCTACCGATGATCTCCGGGATGTGCACGGGCTGGCTCAGCACCGCTGGCGGCCCAGCCCCTGCCGAGCTCACAGCGGCCACACGTACGAAGAACTTGTCTCCCACAGCCAGGTTCCGTATGGTCTGCTGGGTCACCATCACGGGCCGGGCGTTCACGGGCACCCACTCTGAGGCTGGGGGGGAGGACAGGGTGCGAGGCTCTGACTTCGTGGCCATGGGCACCCTTCTGGGCGGGGCCTCTCTTCCGGCTGCAGATCTGGAGAAGCTGACCTCTGTCTCTGGGCCTGTTTCCCTCTCCCCCTCCTCCCTGACCTCTCCTTTCCAAGTGGCAGGAAGGACACCTGATGTTAGAGGCCTGGCCTGGTGGCTAGAGGGTGGACACTCTGGCCAAGTGGCAGAGCAAGGCAGGGTCAGAGGCAGAGGCCAGGCTGAGCTTGGCTGCCATGGACGACAGGAATCTGACCCCTTTCTTCTCACCTCCACCCCCAGCTTCTCTGCCTCCTGCTGGCCCTGCCCTGCACCATCCGCTGAGACGGGCCCTCCCTCGCTTCTCCACAGAGCAGTGCCCAGCATCCCGTCTTGTCTCCTGTTGCTCAGGGGCTCCCTAGAGCTGGGGGACAAGCACTTCCTAAGGACATTCGGACATGCCCTGCCCCCATTCCCTCCGCTACGTCTCCCTGGACTGAGCAGGGTCTGGGGGCTTGTCTCTGCAGCCCCCAAGCCCAGCTTGCTGACTGTACACAGGGCTTTACCTCCCTCCTTGCGTAACTCCAGCACATAGCCCTGGAGCCCCTGGCTCCCGAGCTTCTCCGGAGGCTCCCAGCTCATGGTCACCGAGCAGTCACTCACATCCTCCACCGTCAGCTTCAGGGGGGCACTGGGCACATCTGTGGGAGAAGGAGGGGCGAGGGAGAGGTGTGTGGCCCAGAGTCCCCCCATCCTCTGGCCATGCCTTTGACCCTCCTCCACCTGCCCCACCTCTTATCACCTTCACTTGGAGGAGCAGGTGTAGTGGCTTCGGGGGCAGGTGCCTCAGGGGTTGCCACGGGAACCTGCTTTTCCTCCAAGGTCTCCGATGCTGCCCCTTCCTTGGGGGGCTCTGATACTGCTCCTTCTCCGGGGGTCTCCGATGCTGTTCCTTCTCCGGGGGTCTCCGATGCTGCCCCTTCCTTGGAGGGCTCTGATGCTGGCCCTTCTTTGGGGGTCTCTGATGCTGCCCCTTCCTTGAGGGCCTCCGATGCTGCCCCTTCCTTGGGGGGCTCTGATGCTGCCCCTTCCTTGGGGGTCTCCGATGCTGCCCCTTCCTTGGGGGGCTCCGATGCTGCCCCTTCTTTCAAGGGCTCCGAGGGCACCTTGGCCAAGTCAGAGCTATTGGCCTCCGAGGTTGCGGTCATTGCTGGGCTGGCTGGGGCTCAGGCTGAAGTGCTGAGGCCAGCAGTGGAGGGTCTGGGCCTCCAGGGTGCCTGGGACACCTAGGTCCAGGCTTATATAGGCAGGGGATGCCCCACCCCCCGCCAAATGATTCCCAGCTGTGGGGTCAGGTCAGGTGGGGGCTACTGGGGGGTGGAGAGGCGCCTAGGCCAGGAATAGCTCTGGGGGAGGAACTGAAGGGTCCCTTGAGGAGCACACTGTCGTCCATCACCCCGCTTGGCTCTCGGCAGCCAGGGTGCTGGTGCCCAGATGGGAGGAAGGCACAGATGGGTGAGGTAGGACATTGCCAGCAGCCTGTGCCAGGGGTCAAGGCAGTGGGAACGAGGGCTTCCATCTGGAGGGTGAACCCAGATCAGGCCATGTTGGCCTCCAGGGGGTCACGTGTGCCCGGGCTCCTGAGCCTGGGGCTGGGGCCCAGGCAGCCTGAAATAGCCTTCCTTGGGGAGCTTTGCCCCTGGTCCTCAAGTACCCTGGGAGGGTCTCCTTGTGCTGTGTGAGGCTGAGCGCCCTGGAGAGGGAGGGAGCTGGGATGCCAAGGTGGGACTGAGGAAGGTCCTCCAGCAACGGGATCCCAGGGAGGGGGGTCCCGGGCCCCTGGCTACTGCCTGTCTTCAGATCATGGCAAGAACATTTCCGGGCCTTCGCACCCCCACCGATTCCAGAGTGCACAATGACAGCCCTTAAGGGAGGGTCAAGTCCATAAGGCAGGTGTGGAGGAGGCCCTGGAGGAAGCCAGCACGCCGAAACTTCTAGCCTCCAGAGCGAGGCCCGGCGTGGACATTTGTGGGGAGACATGATGCAGGCACAAGTTTCTAGTCACTGATTCAGACTGGTGATCATTTAATAACCCGGGAAACACTGTCAGCGAGAAGGGAGTCCAGGGCTCGTGGCTGCTGTGTGGGTGGAGGGATCCCCGGAGGAAGTGAGCCGGGACCTAGAACAATGCCAAAGCAGCAGACTCCACAGCCCAGCTGCACCCGCCCCCGGGCTCCAGGAGACAGACGTGCCTGGAACGTGCCCCTCAGGACGATCTGCAGTAGCCGGATCCTGGGGAAAGAGCTGCCCCCCACCGTGGAGGCTGCGGAGAGGTTTGCACCCCGAGGCAGAAAACGTGCCGTCTCGCCCGCATCACAGGCGCAGGTGGGGGGCAGGCGCTCAGCCTCCGCGAGCATCTCCAAGTGGTGGGACCACAGAGGAAGCCGGGATGGGTTGTCTCTGGGCAGACTTTCAGGTGCATGTAATGAAGTCTCATTTCCCATCCTGGGTGGTGGTGACACCACTTTTCACTATGTAGCAATTCTTTTATTTTATTTTACTTCTTTTTATCCTCACCCGAGGACATTTTTGCATTTATCTTCAGATAGAACAGGAGGGAGAGAGGGGGGAAGAGAGAGAGAGAAACATTGACGTGAGAGAGACACATCAAGTGGTTGCCACCCACATGACCCCGACCGGGACAGGGACAATTCTCTAAATTAAAAGACATATATTTTATGCTTTAGCATGTATGGGATGTCCCACAATTTAAAAATAAATACACGTGTAATGTATTTGGGGTCCTCAGAGGCAGGCGGTCTCCTTCCTCCCCGGCTGTCCTGGGGGGGCAGGGCCTCTGTGTCCTCACCCGTGCCAGGTGACTCAGGGTGTTGTCGGGCAGGGTGTGGGCCTGGAGACCCGATCCCCATCCCTGACGCTGAGTCTGCAGCTGTAAGTGACTAACTGCAGGACCCTGAGTCACCCCTGCCGAGCCTGTCCCAGGTGGGGGAAGGGTGGCCCCTGGAGGGCTCTCACCCTCTGCTGTCAAAGACCCTTGTGTGGCTAGGAGAGCAGTAGTCAGGGATCAGGGCTCGCCTGGCCCCACTGGCCAGCAGTGAAATGTCACGTACCCCCGAGGCTCTGGCCAGGTCCCCACTCTCCTTGCCTTCAGCTGGGCTATGACCTTGGGGCTAGTCTGTCTGTCCAACTCCAGCTGGTTCAGATTTCAGGACGGCCAATAGGTGTTTCCTTCCCTATACCTCAGACTAGTGTCGCAGGCCAGGAGGCCAGGTCACAGAGTGCAAACCTCAGGGACTCCATGAATGAATCCCCCAGGGTTTCGGGTGCCCACCAGCTGTCCCAGGTCAGCCTGTGCCAAGGAGCCCTGCTGGACTGAGGGCTACGTGTGTCCCAGGAGAGAGATGAGGGCGTCAGGGGCTGGTGTCATGATGGGAAGGGGTCCCCCAGGCAGTGAGATCCCTGGAAATGGGAGGACAATGGAGATGGGGGGAGACCCTGTCCAGAGCACCTGCAGAGACTCCAGACCTGGGATGAAGGGAGGGCGTGTGATGTGACATGGGTGTCTCCTTTCTAGCTGGAGAGTGGAGTCAGGACTCTGCACCTCGACCCTGCACCGACTCCCCCAGCCCCCAACCTCCGCAGTAGCTGAATGTTTAGGGTGAAAGGGCTCCCCTCCTCCTCATTCCTGCTCGCCTTCCAGGAACAGAAGAGGATTCTCTCAACGAGGAGCTGAGGCAACAGGTCTGAATGACAGTGACTTTCTATCTGGACGCCGTCAGCCCTCGGGTGAAGCCCTCGGCAGAAGGATTTGAGGATGCTGGCATCCTTTTGGGATTTTCAGGGTCACAAGCTCAGGGCCCCAAGCCTGGGAGAGAGGAACCCAGAAGAGATGGGAGAGGGGAGCTCAGCGGGGCCTCACAGACAGAGGAGCCTGTGCCAAGACTCTGAAACCAGTGCTTTACTGAGCAGCTGTGGGGCTGGGGGAGGGAGACAGGGGCAAACTGGTGAAGCCGGCTGAGCAGGGGGTAAGCTGTGTGGTCTCTGCTTCTGCCTGGTGTCTGGGACTGGGTGGGAGGTCTTGCTGTGGTGTTCTCGGACAAGCAGGCCCGGGGAAGGGAGCTGCGCGTTTTCCCTCATCGGCCGCCTGCTGTCTCGTGTCTGACACTGTGGGGTCCCCAGCCCTCACTGCCCACTGCCCCACCGCCACTGGCGTGTCCACACACTGAGCTTAGAGCTCAGATCTGGGCCTCGCGTGGGTCCCGGGGAAGGACACGGGGAGCAGAGCAGGTGACCTGGCCCACCGGGTGAGGGCGCCCGGCCCAGCGTGCGGGCAGAGCCCTAAGCTGCGGCGAGGGCATCCTTGATGGCATTTGTCAGAGGGAAGTGCTGGTTCTGACCGCAGAAGGTGCCCTGGAAGTCATCCAAGTCCAGCGCCCACACCATGGCTCCAGCCAGCTGCCTGTTCCTCAGGTACTGCACCTGACAGGGAAGGCCCAGAGGTGGCCGGGCTCAGTGACCACCCAGATGTGTGAGTGTGTGTGTGAGGGCTGCTGTCCCTGGCCCCTCCCCAGGCAAGGCAACGCAGCCTTGCCCTAAGCCAGGGACCCATGTAGCTGCCTGGAGTGGGTTCTCCTCTCCTTCTTCCTCCTGGGTCGTGGCCTGGATGCTTACCTTGGTTTTGACGCTGTCCTGGTCATCATAGCCCACCCACTGGTTGCCTTTGGTGGCATAGGGGACCTGCTGGTCGGGGAGTCTGTGCACCGAAGCCCCACCAAGGAAGGCACAGATCTGAGCGGAGAACAGGGCAGAGTTAGGTGAGACTCAGGTCACAGGGCGCAACTCCTCAGGCCTCTTTCAGACCCTCAGGCTACTTCTGCTCTCAGAACGTGCTTCCTGCACAGCTACGGAACAGATGCAGATGTCCTGCCCTGTGTGGTCCCCTCCTCACTGTGCGGAGCAACAGAGGCTGGACAGAAAGCACAGCGCCCAGGACTGGTGGCCAGAGGCAGACTGGGTATGCCTCACCTGCCCCTCATCCTAGGGTGCTAGTCTCTTGGAACATGAGTTTTATCCCCCCACCCCCAAGAAAAAGCAAAAGGAGGGTTGGGTTGGAGGCTCACCTTCCCCAGGAGCTTACCTTCTCCCTGAGTCATACCTCATAGTAAGCAAGGATCCCTGTCTCCTTGGTGAATTGGCCTGGTATCCCTGGCCCCGAGCTGGGGGCTCCCACACCCATCTCAGAAGAGGCCAGCGTGAAGCTCCTCCCGAAGGTGGGAATGCCCATGAGCAGCTTCTGGGCCGGGACCCCCAGCCTCAGCACGTACCCCACAGCGTAGTCCTGGGTGGGGGCGGTGGGGAGGGGGAGCACTTAGCCTTGGGAAGGACACCGTCCTTGTACATACAGACCTGGGAGCCCCCCTGTGTCCAGGAACCAATGAGCTCATTCTAAGTGCACTGCACATGCCCTGCTGGTCTGGCTCAGCGGTTAGAGCCTCGGCCTGTGGACCAGAGAGTCCCAGGTTCGGTTCCTGCTAAGGGCATGTACCTCGGTCGCCATTCGTTCCCGGCCCCTGTTGGGGTCAAGTGAGTGGCAGCCAGTCGATGTGTCTCTCTCACATCGATGTTTCTCTCTCTCTTTTCCTCCCTCTCTCCCTCTTGCTCTATCTGAGAATAAATGCAAAAATGTCCTCGGGTGAGGATAAAATAAATAAATAAAGTGCACTGCACAGTTTCATTCTCGAGACGCCCCCTGAGTGCGGGAAGGGAGTCCTCAGCCCTCTGTGAGCTCCTAGGAGGGCCTGGCTCCTCGGCAGAGGGGGCCTCCTCCGGCCCCAGACCTCCGGGAGGGCGTGGGCCCCAGGCCTCAGTCTTCTCAGCTATGACATGGGCCATCCCCCTGCCTAGCAGGAAGCTGAGGAGTGGAGGGTAATGTGTGAGCCCCCTCACTCACAGCATTGCTGAACCTGTCAGCGCTTGCACCCCCCTGGCCTCGAAACAGGGGGCTGGGATGTCCCGTGCTCCGGCGCCAGGCTCCGTGGAAGTCATACGTCATGAGGCTGATGAAGTCCAGGTGTCTGTCGAAGAGGGGACAGATGGCGAGGTGAGAGCCCGAAAAGGTCTCGGCCTTGGGACGGCCACCCCACAGGATGCGAGCAGGGCCGACCGGAGCTGGGAGACAGGCCGTCCCTCCAAACCCATCCTGCCCAGTGACCCACTGCTCATGCTGCGGGATCCCTCCAGCCCCACATGGTCATGGTGCCGAGAGCAGATTGAAAGTGGCATCAACAGAGCTTCTGAGCAAACAGGACAAAGGGCACTGGACCTGTGACCGCACACCGAGGTGAGGAGCTTCGAGTGTGCTCATGAACACGAGCCTCAGGTGCTGGGGCAAATCCTGAGGCCTCCCTCAGTCCCACCCTCTACATGGTCAGTTTAAGTCCAGCCTCCTGCCCTGACTGGCTCGGCTCAGCGGTTAGAGTATTGGCCTGTGGAACAGAGAGTCCCGGGTTTGGTTCTCGCTAAGGGCATGTACTTCAGTGGCAGTTTGTCCCCGGCCCCCACTGGGGTTGTGTGGGTGGCGGCCACTCAATGTGTCTCTCTTATGTCGATGTTCCTCCCTCTCTCCCTCGCACTCTATCTGAAGATAAATGCAAAAATGTCTTCGGGTGAGGATACAAAAAAAATAATAATAATAAGTTCAGAATCTCCACCTCCCTGAAATCGTGAAGAGGATCTAAAGTCGCAGTGAAGCCCCGTCCTTTCCTCCCAGCTTCCTGAGACCCAGGCCCTGGCTGCTCCGCCCCTGGGCTGGGGCTGCTCCTGCTCACGCGGGAACCCGGCCCTCTGGGCAGGGGCATCCTCACCAGGGCAGCGGGTGCTGATTTGCACAGCTCTCCGGCTTCCTTCGCCACCAACACCTTCGTAGCAACTCCCTCCACTCGTGAGCACAGCACCCCAAGTGAGAAAGGGCAGACGGGGTCATCATGCTCACTGACAGACGGGGAGACTGAGGCTCAGAGAGGGAGAGTGACTTCCTCAAAGTCACACATCAGCTCCCGGAAGTCCTTCCCCTGAGTCTGCCTGGAGGGCGGGAAGCGGGGCTCACCGGGCCAGCTGGCGGACGTCGTAGCCTCGGTCGAGGGCCACCTTCCCGGCAGGCACCGCGGCACTGAGGAGCAGCCGCTCGGCTTGTTGCGGGGCTTCCTTCGCAAACTCAGCCTTCATCTCCTGGGTGTGAGAGAGGCAGGCAAGAGAAAGGGGTCCTGGTGGGGGAGAGGGAGCCCCGTGGAGGGGGCCAAGGTCTGGGCACCTCCCTGGCCTCGCCCCTGCTGGAACCACAGCCTGACGGGGCTCCGTGGGAGACAGGTGCCCACCCACGGTCCTGTCTCAGGCTCACCCAGCCTGCTCCTAAGGGCTGTTCACACGCACCTCGTCTGCAGCCCACCCCACCCTGGAGGGACCGTGAGGTCCCCGTGGAACTGCAGGGGAGGTTTGGGTCTGTGACACAGCAGACACGAGACCACGCGGTTAACGTGCCCGTGTGGGTGCCGTGGAGAGCTGGTCTGGACGAAGGTGCACCTGGGGTAGGCAGAGTCACCCGGGTGCCCCTGGAGGCAGCTGAGTGTCCTGGTGCGGCGCACCACTGTGGGACTGGACAGTACGCAGTGACCTCTCCCGGAGTGGTCAGTGACGCTGGGTGCTCTGCTCGGTGACCGCACCCGCCTCCCGCGTGGTCACAGTGTTCTTCTGCTCTGCACAGGGCACAGGCCTGGGGGCCTTCTCCCTGGGTCATGTCCCAGGACCCTGACTGAACCCTCTTCCCTGCCTCAGGAGGTCATCCACGGGAGGCAACTTCTGTCCACCCCATCCTGGTGCCCGCCCACTCCCTGCCCCAGACCCGACCAGCACCTTGACCAAAGTGGTGAGGTGCTGCTTGTCATTTCGCCCAGCGTCCAGCCAGGCAAGGTCCAGCCCGTCGAAGCCGTAGGTCCGCAGGAACAGCGGCACCGACTTGATGAAAGTCCTGCGACTCTGGGCGTTGGAGGCCATTCTGGAAAATCTAGGACCAACATCACCCCGCAGAGCGCTCAGCCCGGAAATGCTGGGGTGGGCCCTGCGCCTCGGTCCAGGAGATGCGACCACGACAGGCCCCAGCCCCTGTGCCTCACTGGTGACCCTCCTACCGCGGGTGAGGGGACACGTGTCTCCTCACTCCTAGTCCATCGTCGTCGGGGGAGTGGGTCCTACCTTTGCGAACCGAAGTTCCATCCTCCGACCGACAGGAGGGTCTTCAGGGCGGGGTTCCTGTGAGGAGGCGGGGGGCGGAGTGGGAGAGATGCTGGGACACTGGGTGGGCCCGGGTGGGCCCTCTGAGGTCCCTCTGGCCTTGAGACTCCATTTGTAAGACTAAGTTTGCTGCCTGTCTCTGTCCTCGCCCCTTCCCCAGCCTGGAAGCCAGGATATGAAACACAGAGCAGCGGGCAGTTCCAAGTCCCCTGGAGAAACACGCTCAGGGACAGGGGGGCTTCCCTTTCCCCGAGCACCCTGTGCCCTCTTCTCCAGTGGACTCTGTGAGCCCCGTGAACACTGCCCAGCATCTGCCCTCATCCCCCTCACTCTGCCCACAGGCGGGTGAGTGCTGGGCCCCTGCCCGGGTCCCCACCTGGTCTTGAGCGCGTTCAGTGTGTCATAGAGAGTGACATCATTCCACTCCCAGGTGTCAATCTCATCGTGGCTGATGTTGGCAAAGCTGTAGATGACATGGGTGCAGAGAAAGGGGTCGATGGCGTCTGGGAAGCAGCTCCCGGCGCCCTCTCGGTACTGGGACCAGCTGGTGTAGTAGCAGACCAGTCTGTACGCAGCGCCTGAGGGAAAGAGTGGGTGGGACCCGGGCCTGGACTCCGCCAGGGACCCTCTCGGAGCCCTGAGCTCGGCACCCTGGGCAGAGCTGCGAGCAAAGGTAGAATTCTCAACGAGGAGCCAGCTCGGCACCTCCGCCTGGGACGTCCCGTCTGATGAAGAAGAATGAATGAGACTCACTGCAAGTAGAGAAGGGTTCCTGGGGGGTCTGCAGAAGGGGAGAGGCTGGCCCAAAACAACCGGGGTCAGAACCTGGATAGAACCTGGCAGGACCTGCAGTGGCCCCTGACCTGAGGGGCTCTGGCCGCCTCTTCTCTGCCCCCGACTCCTGACCCTCCCCGGACAGCGGTGCTCTCGGCCCCTCCCTCAAGGTGGGCACCATGCTGGGCCGAGGAGGTGCTGCCTCCTCTGTGTCCTGAGCCTCCGCTGCCCAGCGAGCAGAGCATTTCGCCCGCTGGCTCTGCAGCAGGAACGCTGGGCCTGGGCACCCCACTGCCCTGGTTCCCGCAGGCCTCCGCCGCACCAGAGCCTTTGAAAGATCCTTATTTTGGAAAATTTCAAATATACAGAAAAGTAGAGAAGAGTAAAATACACATCAAAATAATTATCTCCATTTCACAAATGTTAGAATTTCTGAGCCGTCTGAATCACAGAAGAAACTAGAAGAGGTGTCCCCTCTGCCAATACTTCCTCATCACACCCCTCACCACACTCGCCTCCCAGGACTCGAGGGGCTACTTACAGCTCTGGAGCAGCAGCAGCACCCCAAAGCCTGAGGAAGAAGCTGGGGTCAGAGCCTTGTAAGTACATCGGGCTCCCTCCCCCAGGCAGGCAGTGTCGCTGCCTCTTCCCCTCCCTTCCCCTCCCCTCCCTCCCCCTCCCTCCCCTCCCCCTCCCTCGCCCCTCCCCCTTTCCCTCTGCTCTGCTGTCTTTCCCTCCACTGCCTTCTGCCCCTCCCCACAGCGGGTCTGACCCCTCTGTGCAGTGGCTCTGTGGGTTGTCTGGGCCCTTCAGCCTGAACACCCCAAGGCAGACTCGTGGCCAGAGACCTGTGTGAGCCACCCTGCGACCCATCCTGGCTGCGGAGGAGAGGGGTGCAGTGTGGTCTCTGCCTGTGCTCCTGGTGTCCAGCTGCCTCGTAGGAGCCTCTTCCTGGGCCTCACGCTTCCTTTTATACCTGTCCCCCTCCCTCCCCTGTGCCCCAAACCATCCCATTTATGGGAACTGAGATGCTGTGAAGGGACCGCAGGCTGGGAAGTGGTGGGGAGGAGCACCGTGGGCACACGAGGAGGGTTGAGAAACCCTTGAGAGTTTTGAAAATGGGCCAGGTCTGTATGAAGCCGAAGAGCCATCAGCGGGATGACCTGGGGGTTCCCGGGACTCAGCTCAGCTCCCCTTCCTGGCAGCCCCCCCCCCCACCACACACAGGTCTTCTAGCCAACAGTTGTCGGACTCTTCTGGCGCCTCGTCCGGGCCCTCGGCCAGGTTGGCACCGCTGTGCAACCCACCGTGCCTCAAACAAGGCTGTTTTCATTCTCTCCCCGAGCCCAGCAGCACCCTGGCTGACCCGCTCTCCCCCCAAAGTTCCTCTCCCCAAGCTGTTTCCTACAGCCTGGCCTGAGAGTGGAGGCCTGTCAGCAACTGATGTCCTGGTTACTCCAGGAGAAGTCAGATCACAGTGGGAAATGTCCGCGAACGTCCGACATGCCCGGGGGCAAGCGGGAGAGGGTGTGTGGTGAGTCTGGGTCTGCAGAGAAGCATCAGGGACCAGTGCTTCCCCAGGAGCGTCTCTGGAGATTTCCACAACCTCTGCCTCCGTGGGAGGCCTGTGAAGCCCGGGCCCGTGACGTCACCCGTCTAAATCCCTCACGGCCCCTTTGATGAGACCCAACGTCTTAACAGGCTCTGCATGGCTTGGCCCTGCTTGCGGACACATTGTTTGGCCAAAGATCCAGGACAACCTCATTCTTTGCCGGCTATAAATTAATGACTAGGCAGTGAGTGAAAAGTTCAGAACAGCAAGAGCCAGAGCGGGTCAGAGGGCTTTTCAACAAAGTGCCATTATTTTCAGTGACAGCAGGTCCTGACGTGGTGTCAGCACAGTGGTTCCACAGCCTGTCTTGGTGAGGCCGCTCCCTCTCCTCTCCCACCTGCTCCCTGTGGACTGGAGACGTCCTCCTCTTTCCTGTGAGTGTCCAGAGCACCCTCTGTGAATGCTAGAGGGTCAGTGCGTCTTCCCTTCAGGCACTCGGCTCCTTTTGTGGCGAGATGGTGGACACAGTGACCGTCTGGGGTAGCTCTGTCCATCTTGGGCACGAGGAGTGGACTTCCTCTGATCGAGCTATTGTGAAGGAGCAGCCATGCAAACATTTTCATAACAGGGTGCAGGGTGTTAGGAAACCTCTTATTTCCACTCTCTTCCTTTGTTAAAAAATGATTTCAGGCTTGGTTTGGCTCAAGCTTTGTGGTTCTGTGTCCTCCCAAAGGAGGCTCAAGGACAAATAGCCAAGAGCAGGGAAGGTTTTTTGCTACTTGCAAGCTGATGAGGTAGCTACACGGATGTGGTAGGAGACATGAGACTCCTAGGTCAGCGACAAAGGGCTCATTCACAGCACAGCAAGGGGGAGCTCCATGTTCGCCTCTCTCGCTGGGGCAAAGCGTTTCGGAGGGAGACCATCTGGCTCAGGCCGAGTCTGGGACTTTAGATGAAGACCAGAGCTTAGGATTCCCACCACAAGTTCCTGGAGCACCTTTCAACTTTTAAAAAAATTTTTATTTTAAATTGACCTTAGAGAGAGAGGAAGGGAGAGGGAGAGAAAGAGAGAGAAACATTGATCAGTTCGCCCCGTACTCGCCTGGACTGGGGGATCGAACCGCAACTCTTGGCGTCTAGAACGATGCTCCGATAAACTGAGCCACACTGGTCAGGGCTCTGGGGCACCTTTTAAAATAACCACTTAGCCCTGGATAGTGTGACTCAGTTGGTTGGAGCATCGTCCTGTACACAGAAAGGTCGCAGGTTCGACTCCCAGTCAGAGCACATACCCAGGTTGTGGGTTCAAGCCGTGGTCGGGGTGTGTATAGGAAGCAATTGATCAATGTTTTTCTCTCACATCCATGTTTCTGTCTCTCTCTCTCCCTCCTCTTTCCTCTCTCTCTACAATCAATAAAAAATATATCCTTGGGTGAGGATTAAAAAACATTATTAGAATAACCGCTTAGAGTTGAGCCCAAGAAAGTTCCTAACCTCTGCCTCAACCACCGTAGAAGCAGTATGGACTTACTTTCTGTCTGCTGCTCACCAGTGGCCCTGACTGATTTCAATCAAAACGGCCTCACTTCCCCCAAGTGGAAGCTTGGTTGCTGAGGGAGCTACTTGGTGACCAGCTGCAGCTGCCAATGGGTCACCATCTGCATATTCTTAATGTAATACACCATCTGCAGGTCCTCCCACACACCTCCTGTGGCCCTAGGTTCCAGAAGGTGATGTTGAGGTGGCCCAGGTGGACGCTATGGGTACAAAGGGTGGCAGCCCAGCAGTGGAACTCTGAGGTTAAGGACACAAATCTGCCCGCTGGTGCGGCTCAGTGGACTGAGCGTCGTCCCATAGGCTGAGAGGCTCCGATTACATTCCCGGTCACGGCACGTGCCCTGGTTGTGGGCTCGATACCCTGTAGGGGGCGTGCAGGAGGCAGCCGATGGATGTGTCTCTCTCACATCAATGTTTCTCTCTCTCTCCCTTCCTCTCTCTCTCAAAAATCAATAAGAACATATTAAAAAAATAAAAAGGAATACAAATCTCTTATCTTTATCCTCACCCTAAGACACTTTTGCGTTTATCTTCAGATGGAGTAGAGGGAGAGAGGGAGGAAGAGAGAGATAGAAACATCGATGTGAGAGAGACACATCAAGTGGTTGCCACCCACACAACCCCAACCAGGGCTGGGGACAAACTGCAACTGAGGTTCGGCACCGAACCCGGGACTCTCTGGTCCACAGGCCGACGCTCTAACTGCTGAGCCAAACTGGCCAGGGCTGGAACACAAATCTTTTATAATGAGCAGTAAGCCTGCCTCTCCTTGGCCCTGGAGGGAGATGTCGTCTTCACGACACCGGACAGTAAACAACCTGCCTTCTGCTCCAAAGGAAACACTGTTTATGTCTTTCAAGGCCTCGGCTCTGCGAGCGCTGACGGCAAGGGCGCAAGGACAGCCTCCCCGACGTGCAGATATGCAGGGACCCCTGGAATCGGCTCCTATTGCTGCCTGACTTCGGCCAGTGCACCCCGAGGGGAAGACCCCCAGCTGGGGCTGTGAGAGCCCTCTGCACCTCATCCTTTGCCCCTGACTCAGCTGACTTTACGTTCTGTGTGGCTGTCTCAACCCTGCCCTCCTCTCCAGACCACACCCAGTAGTGGCCTCTTTCACCCCAGTGCCCGGCGCACTACATCTCAGCTGAGTACTTGCTGAGTGAGTGGTCGCAAGATGCTACATACCTGCAAACACTTCGTTTAGAGTGTGGAACCCGATGTTCTCAAAATGTCATCTCCTTCAATAGTTTTTGCTTCTCTGTGAACAAGCGACTCTGGAAGTACCGTCAAACCCCAAAGCACTCCCCATGCTGGTCGTTCATTTGGCGGCTCAGCCAACGCTCGGAGCAGGCACAGGCAGCTCAGCACTGCAGCGGGCGGTGAGGACAAAGCCAGGCCCTGTCCGCGGGGAGTCTATGTTCTGGCCAAGAAGGTGGACATCGAACAAAGAATAACGTACGGGAGTAATTTGTTGTAACTGTGAGAAACTCAACAAGGCAGTTCCGAGGGATAGGAGACTTAATAAGGTGCACGTCCTTAAGAAATGATGTGTACGTTGAGGTGGGGAGGGTTGGGGGGGTTCCACTTTTGGTGAAAGGCTATATTCCAGGAACTGGAAGAATTAAAGAACCGCTGAGGCAGAGAGGCAGGAGAGGGAGGCATGATATTAGACTGGTCTGCTCTGGTGTCCAGGAAAGACTGTCCCTTTACCTGGTGCCTGGGACCAGGCACCTCCCTCCTCAGGGAGATGGAGCCCTCCATGCCCCGAAGGGACCTGGATCACCATTCAGGCCACCACACAGCCGAGAGTCCCTAACACCCCATCAGTTACTGGCATACCCCCTTTGTGAAAACCCTAAATTCAAGGGTGGGAGCCATGGCAGTGGATGAGTTCATCCAGGGGAAGGAAGGGAGGAGGCCCCTGGCCAAGCCCAAGGCACCCGCCATCTGGAGAGCTGGTGGGGGAGGGGTGGCTGAGTTGCAGCTGCAGCTACTTCATTCGATCAGATACCTGCCAGGTGCAGGGCCAGCTGCCTGTGCTGCGGATGCCTGGGCCCTGGGCCAGGGCGATGGGGCCCTGCCCTCAAGGAGCTCACAGTCCGTGCAGGTGAGATCCTACGAGCCACGTGGTCAACTACTTACCGCCACATACTGGAAGGCATGTCTGCAGTCTCAGGCCCCCAGTGTACAGGAGGGGCCCTGGACGAAGAAGGGGTTTCTTGGAAAGTAATGGAAGAGGGTGCTATGATCTCGGATTCCTAACTGGGCAGATTGTGGTGGGTGGTCACGCCCCCAGGCTCAGAGCATCTCTACTAACACGTTCATCTTTGCCTGAAGCAAGTCCTGTTCACCGTCCACCATGTTGGTGCATCTAGGTTAACACACCTTTGTAATAAGCTGTAACCCAAGTAAAAAGACGAAAAAGAAATTGTTGCCCTGGCCGGTTTGGCTCAGCAGTTAGAGTGCTGGCCCGTGGACCAGAGTCCCAGTTTTGTTTCCCACTAAGAGCATATACCTTGATTGGGGTTCGTCCCAGGCCCTGGTTGGGGTCGTGTGTTTCTCTCACATCGATGTTTCTCTCTCTCTCTCTTCCTCCCACTCTCCCTCCCACTCTATCTGAAGATAAATGCAAAAATGTCCTCTGGTGAGGATTTAAAAAAAAAGAAATTGTCATCAGTTTGGCTCTAATAAATTATTAAAAATATTTTTTACAGGTTTGGATGTGTCTTTCTTTTCTTTTTTTTTTTGCTGATTTTAAAATTTTATTTATTAATTTATTTTTGTTACAGATGTTGCTCCTTTTTTTCCCATTGACACCTT